GACTTCCATCATTTTTTTATAAGAGGATACGTACCAAAAGGTACCTACAAATAAATTTTGGAGTGATTTTCTTAAGACATTTTTTTTTAATTACCCTCATCATCACAACAAATAAAATGCAAGATCAAACTTTTGACTATATATATATGAAAAAATGTTTTTAATCACAAACAGTCTTAGGTAGCCATGTTTCAGATTCGATCTTGAAATCCTCTCGTAATTTATCTTGATGATCATAGAAGAGAAAATATAAGTATTAAAATTGTATGTATTATGTTTACAAACAGTTATATTCATGATTATTAAATTATTTAAATTTGTTATATTAATTATTCTACGAACCTAAAATTTCTTTCACTGACAAAATATTTCACAACATCAATTAAACGATCAATCATTAATTATTAATCGTGTTTAATTTTATTAACTTGATTATGATCAACAAAAATGTAGATTGGTGGGTACGAGGTGCGCTGTTCAAATTCTAGTAAGAAAAAAATCGACTTAAAAAAACGTTAAAAAATCGATCTTTTTTATTAATAAAAAAATCTCAGAAAAACTTCAACTACTTTTGAATTTCGACATTAAGAAAGCAAACTGTACACGGGGAACAACATAGTTCGATCAGTTATCATAATCAATTTCCCCAGTAAACAGAGTTTAGCTATAGATTAGAGTTTTGCTTGGGTGGTTTTCTTCCTCGCAAAAAAGGATATCAATGAAGATACATCTATACACCGTGTTCCGGTGAGGAGAACGAAATGGAGATTTGAAAAACAAGCCAGATTAATGAGTATCGTTATGCGATAATGCAAGCACATTCTGAGTCGAGTTGCTTTTGCTACCCGGGCCGCGTGCTTCGTCTCAATTTCTCCTAATTACGCTTTTTTGTCTCGCTCGCTCACTGAGCCTGTAATTAAACTAAATTATGATGCTGCGCTCAGCTGCCAATTAGTTGTTATTGCGCTGGCTAACGCATTATCGTTAGTCGAATGAATAAATTATACGATAAATAATCTACATTACAGTTGTCACAGAGGAGATTTTGCGATATTGGACGCCCCTTATATATAATACCCGACTCACCATGTGCTATAAGAAAAATGATGAGCTATATAGTGAAGGATCGTTTTCCAAATGGCTTTTCGGACATTCACATACATCGAACGTTTATCGAGGAACATATCTCGGGTAATAAATCGCACCGTGCTGCGCTTATTAGACGACGAGCGCGCTCTGAAAACTTTGGGAATCAGTCAAGTAGTCCATCGAATAAAGGAAGCACGTCACGTCAATAGCCTCAGCTATACGGCTGCTATGATCAGCTTGGAGCCTGAATAGCATTAATGCTGTAGCGTCAAACAGTCGATGGCAATGTACATGTATAATTATCAACCTCCGTGACTCTATTCAAATGCAGATCGCGTATGAACCCACAACAGGCTCATTATTCTGGAAAATTAATCTAAATAGCTATTCCTGGCGTCTTTTTCAACTTTATAGTCCATTCAAATTTAATGTGTACGTACGAAATCATTGTATTTCTATTCTTGTTACAAACAATCATTAGAAATGTATAAGCTTATGAATGTTAAAATTTTGTTAATAATCAAATGAAAGAAAACGGCATTTGTAGAGAATCAATTACTCAGCTTGACAAGTTACCGCATAGAGTTCAATGATTCTTTCAGTAGCTCGTTGCCTTACGCGCAAGCTGCTAAAGAAAATTCAGTCTCTGCTCGCAAGGTGTACGAGAAGCGCGCGGTTCAATCTCGTTGCTGTGAATATATACAAGATTTTCCTACTCCACTCATTACTGAGCCGTGAGCAAACTTTTCCAACGATGTTAATTTTTCTGCAGAAAGATATGTCAGATATTTCATGTTTTAAGAAAATAGTATTTTATTTTTCGCATTAATAGAAAATCATTTACGCCAAATAAATAAAATTTTTAATTTCGTGTGGAATTGGTATTTGTGGAAAACAACCCCGGCTCATAATGTTTGATATTAAATTTTGAAAATATCAATAGATTTTTTATCAATTTCAAAAGATGTCAGTTTAAAATTGAAATATCTGACGTGAGAAAATATTTATTTTGCTTGGAAAATCGAAGTAAAAATTGAGATTCACTTTATGACAGATCGGAACCGTTTTGGCAAAAGTTCAAACCTTCCTAAATTCCGTTATATTCGCATCTCATTCTGTCACTGTCATACATCAAAAAGTGAAATTTCTTCAGGTGAAATTGAAATACTGATGGTCTACAAGGTGATGGAAAATAAAGGTGTGTGTTCGCTCGCGAGAGCTTCTTTATCGACGCCTGGTATGGCTAACGTTCTTATAATAATCGCGGCGCTAAAGTTTTCTAGAGTGCGCGCGAGCTATTTTACCGCAGAAAAAGCTCACATGATCAGATCGAACATATTTGTCGATACGATGGATCGCCACCTTACCTATATATCGTCAATTTTTATGCTACATTTTGAAAAATATTTTAACTGTTTTAGTCGAATGGACAAAAATTGTACTGCTAGATTCGAAGAATCAGTGAGGTGTGGAAACAATTCATTGATTTCATTTCAAGCGAGTTTGCTATGCAAATTTTCGAGAGTCGCGAGAATGCCATCGATTGGACAAATATGTACTTTCAATTGCTCTTTCCCTATTTAGTCGACATTGTCAAGTACAGTTAATATTTGTTCTCTATTCTTTAATTCAATTTAAATAATAGACGTAGGCGCTAATTTTCGGTAGAATTGATAACGAAATTTTATTAAGAACAATCGATTTATAACTAAATATATATGTTACGAGTAAAAGTAATCGGTATTCAATTATACGTTTATTCATCTTTTCGAAACTTATTATCCTTAATAAAAAGTAGACTTGCGATTCCATATTTTGGATTTATGAACATTTAAGCCTCACCTAATTCAAAATAAACTCTGTGACTGTTCAAGCATATTCACTTAAATTTTCGATAGAGACGCAAACAAACGAAACAACATCCTCCTTAGGAATACGTCGAGTAGTATAATTTCGATTCTGCAGTCTGCGATTGCCGTTTCGAGCAAATAAAAGCTACGGATTGTAATCATCTTGCGTCATATTCTCTCAGAAATATTGACTACTGTCTGTCGCTTTATCATATACATGGTAATCAGTTTGGTACAATCCCAGGCGTATAAGAATAATCCGAGAGTCGACAGTTTGTTCAATCAAGTGGATATCATATGTCGTTCCTCCATAGCTGTTTTGCCCATAATCAGTACGAATGTGCTGCGAGTACGAGGGAGAAAGAGAATGGGTTTGCAGAATATAGCGGCAAAAAACGACTGGCGACGAAAAAGGGAAGGACGCAGTCATAGAGTGACAAATGAGCAACGCAATGCTCGTGAAAGAAGAAGAGATAGAGGTAGCCTCTCTCTCTCTTTCTCTCTCTCTCTCTCTCTCTCTCTCTCTCTCTCTCTCTCTCTCTGTGGCTGTGCATTTTATACAATGTCCTGGGAGTTCGTTTTGTGGCCCTGATCCTATGTATACGCTTCTCTCGCGCCAGATCCCGTGAGAAGTTAGATATAGCGAATGCGTGCAAGTACGCGCGCGTCGCCGACATCATCCAGCCAGCGATTCCGCCCCCTCCTCTCTCTCTCTCTCTCTCTCTCTCTCTCTCTCTCTCTCTCTTACGTGTTTTTCCTTTTTTTTGGCTGTTTCCTTTTCGAGCTTAGTGCAATCTCGTGTTTTTCGCTCGATCCCAGCGGTCTAATGTTGTTTTCTCACAAGGCTATTCAAACGCAAAGATCTGAAAGCTCACGACGCACATAGATGTATATTAAAAGGCCATAGCTGTCCAATAAATGCGAAGTCCGAGCGCGAAACATCGGACAAACGGCAATCAGCTGCCATGGGTTTTGTCATTCGTTCGTGCGTTCTCGACGGAAGCGAGATTTGCTTTCGCGTTTCAAGCAAGCGCATACCCCTTTGATTCGATCCAATAACACGTACGCGGCGGCGATACGTGTTCGGGGCAGACGAACGGGGCCGCGGGGGCGAGGGCTGTATTCAACAATCGCGCTCACTGCTCTCTTGGCAGCTGGTCAACGGCTGATGCCGCTACTGCTGCTGCCTCTGTGGTGTGCCTGCAACGCCGCTGCTCTGTATGCTATGTGCTTCGAATTCACGCCACTAAACTTGTTGCTAGTTATATATCGCTGAAAAGCTAACGAAGTGCACGCAAGTGCTTTCGGGCGCCAGCGAGCGGCGTCGCGATTTTATCCCACCGCGCGGCCAGCAACCGACACGTGGCGCCAGACAATATAGTCGACAAAAGCAAATCTTCCCTCCCCCATCCCGCTCTTGCCGAGCTTTTCCGTTAAATTAGCGTCCGGAGATGATGGCTATCACGCACTTTTTACTCTTAGCGCTGTTCCTGTTAAAGCAGAAAGCTGCATATATGGATCGCTTAGTTGCACTTTTCGGAGATTTCGGATGCGGGTGCAGAGATCGCAAACCATTATTCGAAGTCAAATCGTTAGATAAAATTAAATGTTACTTGATGATGTTCGAAAGTGAAGCATAACTGACATTTAAATTTGTTGGTAACGTTAAGTATTCCATTTGATAACGACAAATGCCATTATCGTTCGTATCAATCAACTCTTGCATCAATTCTATCATTTATATTTAATAATCATCTATTGATGATTTTATTAAACATGATATCATCATTAGCGAGTCGGTTATTACTATGAGTTTAATCCGGATCAACGCGATCTGTGAAAATTGCACTAGCTTTCTCGTTAAGTACTGATGATTGGTACCCGCTTCGTGCAATATTAAAAATACTAAATTCGTTAAATTGTTAAGAAGTTATTAATAATCGATGTTGCAAAAAATTCAAATAAAAATCATTCAACTATCATAATACACAAAATTATCGGACATATCTTTCTTTCAGCGAAAATTATTGAACACGGAAATCTACTTTTCTTTTGTTTCAGATGTGGTACATTTTGATTAGGCAGCATTGACTTGGCCAAAGAAATGTCTAACAAAGATCAAAAGCGATTGCCCAGCTGACAAACAAAACGTGAGTATATAATATTAGGAAATAAAACTATTTTTATACTTATGTTTTTCAAACAATTAAATAGAATTGCACGTATATCAATGAAAACTTATTTAATTCAATGTGAAATAAATTTTATTTATAACGTATAATAATGTTTCTCCTATAATTAAATTTCATTTTTTTAATGTATACATATTGTACATTTTTAATGATTGCATGCCTCAAATAATTATATGAAATAATATTAAGAACACGATCAAACACATTTTACACATTCTCCGCAGTATATTTAGTTGAAGTCTTTTTCTCTTGTTAAATTATGCTACGTGAATAATATAAAGATTATCCTTTTACGTGTTTATATCTAACTGTGGTTATACATACATTTAACCTTCATTTGATATTATAGGTACTGATAAAATTAATTTGCATATGAAACCGTTATTATATTATTTAATTATTTTTTACGCTGACTTTGTTAAATTTACGTAAAAATAACGGTTCGTCAATGTTTGTTACTTACGCTGACAGTATAGTTTTATTTGTCTTGTAAGATATAATTTTGTACCGACGAATAAATACCAAGTAATCATTAAGCGATCGCGACGGAGGATCTGATGGATAAATTTTGTTGACGAGGCCGGAATCGATAATCCATATTCATGTGATCTTTTGAATCCAGCAAAGGCGGTAGCCGATAAAATCAATATCTCGAGACTGGACGAGAATAAGAAAAAAATAGTTGCATTGATGCTGTAAATAAGGAGTGAAGACTAAACGTTATTTATTGCAATGCAATAAAGAAAAATGGAGCAGATATCCTTACAGTGAGCTCTGAATAATGCGCGTGTTATCGTTGGTCAGAGGAAGCGCGTGAGCAGCTGGATCCGTACCGCGTGCTTCGTCCCTTAGCGCGTAGATCGGTCCCTCGTGGTAAGCGGGTTGACTAATCAAACGATAGTGGGTGCTTGTTAACGCGTTAGCGTTCGATAGCGTGAAATTAATGAGCGCCAATAGCATCGCGGACAGCCGCGAGCAGCCACGCGCGCCCCACCGGCACCACCGTCACCACTCAAAAATCCATACACGCACAATCGCACCAATGGCCTGTGCGTCTCGCCTGCATACTTATATTGGCTCTTGATTGTATTTTCCATGCGCTTCACACGTCCACGCTTGGGCCCTCGCACAAACGCACTGAGCAGTAGCGCGTCGTTTAACAATGACGCTGATGTTTTTGTCCAGCGACAATGACGTCGGAGACGTCGTCGGCAGCTGACAGCCCGGCGCTGCTGCATCGGCCATTGCTCGTTACCTCTTGCCCCAGCGACGCCAATAGCAGCAACGCCTACGGCAAGTCCGCTGCCACCGGCAACTTGGGCACCACCATCGACACCGTCGCCAGCAGCAACGTCGCGCGCTTCTCGCCGCCCAGCGTGCGATTCCACACCCTCGACCTTGACATGGATGAGAAACCACATCGGTAAGTCTTCTTCCGCGCGTCCAGACGATCGCCTTCGACGCGAACAGGTTCTTCGCGATGCGCGCGCTGCGCTCAAATTTGCATTTTCATCCTTGCTATTTCGCGATGTTGCAGCGCGTTCCTGATATTTACATTTTGCTTAAGCGTCTTTCTGTCTCTCTGTTGCGGGGACGAGCCTTTTGAAAGGGCAACAGGCCTTGAACTATATTCTCTGCATGACGATTGCTTCGCTGCACTCACCGTAATAGCAAAAATTAACGTACTGCTGTAATTTATATAATCATTGAAGATGATCATCGACGTCGAGCACGCGATACTGTAGAAGCAAAGTGCCCTCGTGCTCATCGAAATAAATTTTTACAAGTGGCCGTTTAATATGTCGAGTACGCGAGGCAATTCTTATACGAACAGCACGGAATTAGACGGATTGTTATGAAAATTTAACATTGCGCTGAATACTAATGCGACATAGCGCGACATAAGCAGCAGCGCGCCACTGCTACAAGCGCACTCTTAACAACGCATTGATCTGTCCTCTCACGTTTACGGCAAATCAGCCAACGTATCGTGGAAAATTCAGTACGCGGGCTAAACTACCGAATTCAGCATTCCGACTGTCGCGCGGATTAGCTATCCACGCGTGCCCCACGGACGAAAAAAAAAATAAACCTAGAAATAGAGGACAATACTCCGGAAAAGGACACTGCGTAAAGTGACAGCCAAGTCATGAAAAGCTACCGTAGGGGGAAACGAAAACACCAAGTTTTTATCTTATATTTTCCATTTCGTTTTGTTTCTCCTCGCCCATTTAGAATTGGTAATGTTGAAAGATCTAAGTATAGAAATGCAAATACGTTTGCAATAAAACATGCAAATGCTGCATTATACTGCAAGCTCCTCTTGAGAAATACTTCAAATAGGCTGGCTGCGAAGGATTTTTACAAAATTGCTAATTACGTAGAACCCAGGAATTTTTTGATAAATTTGAAGAAAAGTGGTCGAGTAGGTCTTACAAGCGTATAAGATTGTAAAAGCGTAGTTGTAATACTTTGGCACACTTTAGCCCGTTTGAAGGCGTCCACATATAGATAAGGTCTCGCGTTGGGGCGAATGCAAATTAATGCGAAACTTGGAAGTATAGATTTCCATAAGGATAACTTCTCGAGCGTTCAAGCAACGTTGCTGCGAGTAAGTATTGCGTTGCTCGTCGAATAGCCACAGCCAACTGATTTGAAAACAAACAACATTGGCGCAAAGTCCGCGGACAGCAAAATTTCAAGAACAAAAGTACGAGTAAGCTCGAACAAGCAAAACCATTTGGCTAGACTCTACCGGCCGCGGATCGAGTTGGTCGATCTACACGTGTAAGCTATCCTCGTAAAAGCCAACAATCGTCGACGAGAGCAGCGTGGCGAACATAGACATAGCAAGAGAAAAGAAAGCGTACAACGACAAAGCCCAACGAGAGAGAGAGAGAAGCGGGCAAAGATAAAGTTGGCGCATGGAAGCGAAACAAAACAAGAAGTAGGAGGCTTGGCGAAGCTTCGCGAGAGACGGTTGATCGAGCGAAAGAATTGTGGAAGGGGTGGAGGGGGGGTGGGGCAAATTCGCGCACGCAACGATATACGTAGGCCCGCAGCGAGCAGCAGCGCGTGTACAAGTATTTCAGCGCCGGCGTATAACGTTGCGCGCAGGCCGCGTGGCGTGGACGGACGCTACGTGTACGCGCAGACGAGGCAGAGTCAGTCAGTCCGAGTCGAGCGTCCGCGGCGACGCTCGCGCGCGAGAGACACATCGCGATATGTCGCCGCTCAACTTTGCCGCGCTTCTGCTCCAGCCACGCTCTCGCACCTAAGCATCTCGACGGCTGTCGTATCCGCTGCCTGTTTGCCCGAACGGTATTCACTTTTTCTTTTCCCACTCTTTACAGGCTCTCTGCGTGTTTCATTGCTTCTTTGTTTTTTCTTTTTTTTTTCTTGTTTTACTTTTGGTGATCGACCCTGCGTGTGATATTCTTGGATATCCGTTCGTTATTCTCAAAGTATATGGCATCGCTGCCCAATTTTATCCTCGGCCGTGATTTTCAGCAACGCTTTGTTTAAGCAGTTGCTTCAAAATTCAAATTCGAGGAGATAACGGCCGACCAGTGATTTCACCTCCGTTTAAACAACTACTCTTTACGTTCTATTTCAAAATTGTTTATATTATTCGGAAACAATAGCGTTTTGCTTGCAATGGTAAGCTTGCCACGAAAAATCCGGAGCCAAGTAAGCATTGCTCTCTCCAAAATGAAGGCGAGCGATACGAAAGGAGTCTCGCGATATCTTTATTGTAGATTGCCGCGAGCTGTGTGTACGTGTCAATGTAAGAAAACAAACTTGCAATATCACTAGGAAAACAAAAGAAAAGCTTATCACGTTCGAAAAAGAAGAAAAATGAAAGTATTTTCGGGTATTATATTTATAGCTGCTACCCCTCCCCCCTCTCCCCCTATCGCTCCCTCCCCGCGTCCGTCTGATTGAACTAAGTGCTCTACTACTTGGCTTGCCACATCCGAGCTTTATCACACTTACACAGACACACACAGGTCATCCAAAGACTTTATTGTTCAAATTAAAATGCGTGTCCGCGTGGCCTGTAATGAAGGGAGAGAGAAGAAAAGCAGTCTAAAATAAAACGAAAAATAAATTTTACAGAGTTGCTTGTCATTTGTAAGATCCAAATGCAGACTCTATTTAAAAAATAATGACGAAGAGGTGAGCTCGGTGAGTGGAGTGCGGGTTTCCCTGCTCGCACTGCATGTTCGAGGACATCGAGGCTGGGCAACTTCAATGAAGTGTTAATTACAACGGTAGGTGAATAGCATGCTTGAGTCTTGCGTCGCGGACAGCTGCCCACTTGCAAGTGAGAAAGACCGAGTGGAAAAAGAGAGAGAGAGAGAGAGAGAGAGAGAGAGAGAGAGAGAGAGAGAGAGAGAGAGAGAGAGAGAGAGAGAGAAGCCCGGCTTTACTTTCACGATCCTTTTGGTCGACCGGCCGACCAACACACACCTACAGCTTATGTGTATACGGGCTTCGTCCACTTCAATCCCAGATTCTCCTGAGGCTCGTCACCGAAAGGAGCTGTCGTTGTTTTACGGAACCCAACCCCTTCTTCTTGTACTTCTTTTCGTCTTTTTTTATCGTCTTTTCCATTTGCCTTGCGTTTTCCTATCTATGTATGTATACGTCTACGTGTCATCTTCGATTCCTTCTTTTGATTCACGGGCGTACCTTCTCATCCGGAAATAACTGCTTTTTGCTCTAACAATTTCTCTTTATAAACAAAAACTCTTTGTAACCGGAGCAATTACATTATTATTTTTTTTTTTTTGCAGGAGAAAAACATAAAATGGATCTAATATTAATTAAAAATAATTGCTGACAATGCGCTTCCATTTACCATACAATTGAATGTTTCTCTGCAATGTCTTAAGCTTCATGACAATGTTGATGATAATATTATTTTATTAAAATATTCGAATATAAAGCGTGAAACATATGTTTCTCTATAATTCAATGAAATTTATTTAATGATTTTTTTATGTTAATTTTGGAGTAGCGTTGATTTGATTTGACCCAAACGCGAAAACCGAAATAGCTTAGAATGAGTCGGTAGAATATATAATGAATAATCGACAAAATTCTCGTGATGAAAATGTTAATATTAATACAGAGCTACTGTTACATTATTATTATTATCACCATCATACCACTCTTTTTCAGTTTATGAAGTAATACTTTTCATATTATTTCTTTTTTATTTATCGTATTGTTTACCAAAATAATACACACGTGATATACAAGTTTCTCTAGCTTGGTTTGCAATATTGCGTTGGAAATAAATTGGCCTCAATATTAAAAATAAACTAGAGTCACTGAAAGTGCATTCGCATGAAAAATTGATCTAAATACATCGAATAAATGTGTAACTGTGACGAGTGGTATTGTGCAAGAAAATTAGGCGACGTGGTATTTAAAAAAAAAAATTACAATATACGAGTATCGTATTCAATTTTACTGATTTGCTAGTTGACCTAACGTTTTATGCACATTCACTTCGTTGCATAATCAACAAGGAAGTTCAGAATCTGTCGCGTCATTTTAATAAATAGAAAGAAAAAAAAGAAAAGATTGATTTGAGTATATACTATAGTATGTTTGCAGTTGTAATGCATGCATCATAGCTTATAAGTAAAGCATTCACCCAGCAAGTAAAGAAAATTAGAGAGAGGAAAAAAGATCGACTCATGTGGTCTAGACCTCTTAAGGGAAATTGGCGCGCGCGCGCGCGCGCGCGATGCGCTACTCATTGCTGTTCCTTTAACACTCTAACCCAGGCGCAAAGTGACAAGGTCGTCCTTAAAATACTGCATTATCGAGGCTGAGCTTCGCGAAAGACCGCATTCGAAAAGAAAAAGAAAAAAAAATAAGGACCCAGTCGCAATCTGTGAGAGAATTGTTTCTCGCTCACGAAAGCGGTTAATTAGAGGCTTGCGGTATTTGCGAAATTGATTCGGCCACAAAGAGAGCTGGGCTGTGCTCCGGCTACTGCGAGCAGTTACGACGACGGACATACGGAGAGCGGGGTTTGCATATGGATCGTCGGGTGAGAGGCAGAGAGGGAGTGCTAATCCATTCGGAATAGAACGTTTATAGCACGAGGGCCGATCGATCTACTGCGGTTTGGCGTCCGTCTCCTCGGCCCTCATTTTTTTTTACCTTCTTTTTCGTTCGCGGTGACTCTTTTCACCGCTGTCGCCGGTCGCTCGTTATTTTTTTTGCATCCTTTCAACGCCGCGACCGGGACGAATTATCTGCTCTTAGCGCCGGTCAATTACCGCGCGCCGAAAGTCGCTTCGGTGCGCCGCGAGAAGAAGAGAGCAAGGGCCAACGGACTGTCGGCCGGCAAACGCCTCGCGCCAACTAAATGCAGCGCGTGCGTACGCGGTGGCGGCCCAA